GGCCGCTTGGAAGACAGGAGCACAGAGCAGATTTAATCAGCTTATGGTACCTGGCTGTGCCCACACCTCTCCGTGCTTACTGTTTGCTGTTACCCCCCTTTCTTATCACAGTCCTTTCCTGTCTGAGTGACAGGGCCGTTGTTGTTGACATCAGACCTCACCCAGGACAAAGGGTAACAGGGTGGGGGTATTGCTGCCTCAGAAATGTCCATGTCTCGTTAGACATTATCTTGATTCTTAGACACGTGCATGTTCAAAGAGCTGGTCTCCAGGGCCAAAGACCCAATTCCTGCTGTATGGCTGCTGCTGGAACCCGGTGGGCCTTGCCTGAGGGTGCTGAGGGCTCTCTGATCATAGCCTGGCTGGGTACAAGGTTCAGGTACTGCGTTATTCAATGCAGACAGAGAAGCACAGCTTTTGCAGGGGAGAGCTTCCTCAGCCCAGCTGTTGTACACTCTCCCCGAGGTTTGGGAGCTGCCTGTCTCTACAGCAGCAATTGCTTCTCCACCCAGGTCTGGATTGTTGTTTGCAGATACCGCTCCTGGCTGCCACCTGGTCTGGCTGATGGTTCACCACCACTCAGCCAGGAAACCATAAACACCTTTTCCAATGGCCAGCCCCAGCTCTCCAACTCCCCAGTGGTGGAGGCACAGCCCCTTCACCTTCCCAGGGACTGCCAGCCTGGGTGTTTGGGGCAGAAGTTTTCCATTGGATCAGCAAGTTGGTCTGCCTTGCTGTCGTTCATCCCGTCCCTGTGTGTGTGTGGTGGCAGGACTGTGGCTGATGCAGTTTTGTGGTGTTTGGTGCAACCTGCCTCTGCTTTTTCTAGGTTTTTTTGTATTTTACTTGTTAGCAGCTTGGGTAACCCCAGGCACCAGCTTGCAGGAAGGGAGCAGTCTTTGGTGGTGTGGCAGTGCCTGGCTGCAGCTCTGTGCCTTGTATCCTGCCTTGTAGACCTGCAGGGTGCAAGGGGAAGGTTGAATGGGGCTTTTCCTCCAACCAGAACCAAATCCAAACCACTTATCTTAACGTTTCTAGAAACTCTGATCTACAACCAAATAAAACCATTATTTTATAGCTCTGAGTTAAAGTCTGAACAGGAGTCAGCTTCACCTTCACCGGTCCTGTGTCAGCCCAGTCTCCTGTGCCCCCAAAGTGCCATCTGCCTCTGCTCTTCCCAGACCTGGGCTGGGTGTTTGCCTTCCCGGATAGCCTGTGTTCCCAGTGTTCCCTCCCTGCTTGTCCTCTCACATGCCTGTGGCACGTGACACATTTACCAGGTTATTACTGGTCTTAACTGGAAGCTAACTGAAGTGATGTCAGTCCTAACCATACCCTGCCTGCAGCTGGATTGGAAATGCTCTGGTGTATGGGATGGGCTATCTGTTGCAGCTCCAGCCCTGGGGATTTCCCAGTATGAATATTTATGACTGTGATCTCGTCCTGTTAAGGACATGCATGTAACTGGTTCCTCCTGGGTTTGGATTTCATTTCCCTCCTCTCCCTGCACACAGTGGTTGCAGAGCATTGTTGTGAGCTGTGAAATGCCTTTTGGGGTCCACTCCAGCAGTGGCCGCTTCTAAGGAATAAGCACAGTGATCCCAACTAGGTGTGACTGCTGATCACCACAGTGCAGGCCCACAGCAGGTGCGGGTCCCTGCTTGGGCATGCGGGAGCAGCTCTGTGCAGCACTCTCCTGTGGAGGCATGGGGGCTGCAGGCATGGTCCAGCCCACAGGGCCTGTTTTGGATCATCTTTGGGGTGTTGCAAAGCCCTGCTGTTGTGCACAGGGATGAGGTGGGTGCCCAGTTTGTGTGCTGGTGGTAACACCATCTTCTTTTTTGTTTTTCAGACTGCTCTCAGTGCTTTTTTCCAAGAAACAAACATCCCCTACAGCCACCACCATCAGATGGTAAGTGATTTCCTACCTCTGCAGCACTCGCCCAAGGCACAGCACCAGCTGGCCGGTGCTTCTGGCTGTTGCCGATGCCCAGCTCGCTGCTTCACAGCCCCAGTAGAGCAGGCAGGGAGGTCTGGCCAGGCACTGCCAGAGCTGCCTGCCAAGGAAGGTTTTCCTGGAGAGCGAATAGGGGTGGCATAGCCTGTCCTACACAGTGGGACAGCATGGTTGGGGCTGCCCTCACACCTGCAGAGAGGTTGAGGCTGCTCCTCGGGGAGGGACATCTCATGGAGGGTGTTTTGGGCATGGCCAATGGTCCAGATCAGCCCCAACATGGCAGAGAGAGCCCAGGGGAGCCTGGAGCACTGCCCCCCTGTAAGGTGTGTAAACACACATGCAGATGCATGCATGCTTCCCACTCTGCAGCCCAGACGCTCATGAGTGCTCCTGTGCTTGCTGGAGCGACTGAGCTGGAGCAGGCCTCCAGCACAGCATGTGCAGTGTATGGATGTGTGTAAACACAAGAGAGCGTGCATGCATGTGGGTGCTGCCTGCCAACTAATCCCAAACTTGGCTCCTTAACTCTCAGGACATGGCAGCCCATAATCTGCTTGAGCAGATATGTCTTAGGGATTTGCTGGCTGCTGTGGTCTCATTTAACTCTCCAGGACAGTTGGGGATATGGAGCATGCAGTAAGTGTGCAGAGCAAGTGCCTGAGGGCCCTGAGTGTGCCCAGTCTCCCATGAGGTGGGAGCTGAGCCAGAAAGCTGCAGGTCCAGGGTAGCACCAGTGAGCTGTGGGGTTGATGGGTCCCTGCTTCAGTGCAGGAGGCGGACAGGCAGATCCCATCTGTGCCCTTTTGACAGGAGCACTCACCACAGCATTAATAACTGCTGCTTGTGAGCAATGTTGTCAGCAGAGCACAGGTCCAAGGGCCCTCTGAGCCACAGCAGTGGGGGCAGAGGGGTCTTGCGCTGGGCCCTGATGGGAGGCAATGGTGGGGACTCCCTCATGCCTGATGCCATGTCTCCTTCCCACAGATGTGCACTCCTGCCAACACGCCAGCCACGCCGCCCAACTTCCCCGATGCCCTCACCATGTTCTCCCGCCTCAAGGCCTCTGAGAGCTTCAACAGCAGTAGCCCCGTGGCCTCCATGGCAACCTCCCCACCACCCCCAGCCCCACCACTGCCCCAGCACGGGGCCTTCAACTCTACCTGGCCCACGGCTTCCCCCCCTGGCCAGCAGCAGAGCATGTGGACTCCGGCTGCCACAGCGCAGCCCTCGGGCTGGCCAGCCACCGTCTCGCAGCAGGCCACAGCAGAACAGAAGGCCAATGTGACCATGGAAGCAGAGAGATGAGGCCGCGGCGGAGAGCGAACGCGGTGGGGACCCCTGCATATAAATATCTATTCCCCCCCCCCTCCCCGAAGAGGAGAGGAACTCTGCTGCCAGGCGTCTGGCAGCCGCAGAGACACACGAGCAAATAGCTGCCTTGCATGGGTTTGGTTTGAAGTAGTTTTTACTTGTCCTCGAGCTGAACAGAGCTCCCCAGAGACAGCAGGAGGCTGCGTGGGACATGGGACTGGTGCTGCCCTCTACCTGGGACCCTGCTGCCTCTGTGGGCTCAGGGAGGGAGTGCCCCCTCCTCTTTTGGGACACCGGAGTTTGCATGCGAGTGACATTTACAGAGGCGGTCCCTTCTTCATAGTCCCCTGGGCCACCTCACTGGGCAGAGTGGATTGTGCCTGAGTGTTTCCCCCCATCCCTTGGCCCCACTTGAGCAGGTGGAGGGCAGACGCAGGCACCCCACACAACTTGTTTTTTTTAAGGGCTGGAGAGAGCAAGGGCTGCTCCTGCTCAGCTGCAGCCTTTGCCCCGCATGTACCATGCTCGCTGATGAGCAGGGCTGGGGGACACCAGCTCCTGGGGAGGCGTCTGGCCTCTCATCCAGCCCGGACAATGCGGAGCAGGGGGTGACCCATGGTGGCCCAGCTGGGCCAGCACATCGTCCCCTGCCCTCCTGGGATGGGGTTTGCCCAGGGCTGTTTGCATGACACAGTGTAACCCTAGAGACTGGGATCATTTTTAACCCCTCTGTTCTTTTCTCCTGGTGGCTGGAAGTCCCTCTGGACATGCCGCAGCCGCTTGCAATACACGCTCTTCTGCTTTGAACCCTGTGTCCTTGCTTCGTTTGCAGCAGCAGTGGGATGCAGCAAAGGCTAGCCTGGGCTTGGGATGTTTCAGGATCTCTCTGAGTGGCTCTGTGCGTGCTGTGGCGCTGAGCTGGGGCTGGCTGCATTGTGCTCTGTGTGCTGCCCCACACAGCCTGTCCCAGCCTGCAGTGACTGTCAGCCACCTTTGGCCAGTTGCATGCCAGTGCTCAGCCCCAGCAGAAGCCAGCCCCGATCTGCCCCACCACATCAGTTGTGGGTATGTGACCCCACCAGGAGCAGGGCTGGCCTGATGGCAGGGCTGCAATGAGAGCTCGGGTTCCCTGTGTGTCATCCTGGGTGTCTTGCTATGACCTGGCTCTTATTCCGTGTATACTGGATGATGGGCCAAGTCCCATGTAGTTGCTCTCCCTGCTGAGCCCTCTCCTCATGAGGCTGCATCCCTGCGCTCACCAGTCAGTAATTAATTTCAATCTCTTATTTGTGTTGCTAAAATAAACATGGTAGGAGTGATGGTTTCACCTGGGCTGGAGCTGGTGCTGGCCCTTGTTAGCTTCCCTGCATGGTGCTGTGCTGGATCTGTGTGCCTCAGTCCTGTGAGTGGACCAGCGCCACCAGGAGCTATAGGATTAGGCTTTGAGCAACCTGATCTAGTGGAAAGTGCCCCTGTCTGTGGCATAGGGTTAGAACAGAGCTAGGTGAGCTTTAAGGTCTCTTCCAACTCAAACCATTCTGTGACTCTAAAACCCACGCCCACACCATGCACTTGGACATCTGACTGATGAGAGAGCTCATGGGCATATAGCACATCCCAAAAGCATCTGGCTGTGGTCACCAAGCCCAAGGATGTCTCATGTGCCTCCACTAGCCTAGGAACTGCACAGGAGAGGCAACGGAGGAGCCAGCATCTTTATGGTCTGCAGTGTTATGCCATCCAAAGAGCAGCTGCCAGGGCAGTGTGGCACTCACCACACCCATTCCCTGAGTCCCTGGTGTTGCCCATCCACTCCCCAGATCCCCATACCATTTCACAGCCCCTGCCCAGCTCAGACACCTGAAGTCCAGCTGCTGCCCATGGCAGTCTGCCAGTGGCCCCCCGAAGAGCTTGTCTTCATCTGCATGGCGGCACCTGCAAAGCAGAAAGCCTTGCATGGGGCATGACACCCCCAGCAACACCCCTGGGAGCCTCTCAGGGAGCTCTCAGCAGCAGGTTGGGGCCATGTAGCAGGGCTGGTGGCCCAGGGGACACACAGGATGGGCACTCACGTGAGTATGGGGACACATAGTGGCTGCCATACTTGGGGATGCTGACCATCTTCTCTGTGGTGTGCCGGGTGCGGGCCTGTGGGTTCTTCACTGTTTCAAGGTGAGAAGCAGAGACACTGCTAGCACAGGGAGATGAGAGGCTGCTGATGCTTTTGCCACAGACTGGCACAGCACCGTCCCAGGTGCTGACAGTGGGACGTTCATGTGACTGCACAGCCTGGCCAGAACTCATGCGCTGTCCCAGGGCTGATCCCCTACATGGGAAGTCCTTGCCCATGGTGGCAGTCCTATTGGTACCCAGTGAGTTTAGCCTGCCCTTGTAGATGACCCCATCGATGCCCAAAATATCCACTTCTCTCTAGAGGGAAGAGCAGCTGATGAGGTTGGAGGTGCCCCGAGGCTGTGCCCAGCCTGCAGCACTCCTGCCATGCCAGTACAGGCGGGCTCAGTGGGTTTCTAGAGAACAGGGACAACGTGGATGAGTAGCTTACGTTATTGCAGATGAAGTCAGCTGGGTGTCTGCAGGGACAGACGGTGATAAGGGAGGTGGAGGTGGACAGTGGCCTGGCAGAACTTCCAGGGCGCTGGCTGGCCCTAGTCAGGAAGGGTAATGTAGGTGCTCCCTGCCCAGGGAGAGGAACCCCAAAGGGAGAAGGAGGGACACTGGTGCCTGGCAAGCCTCACCTCTCCAGCAGCTGCTGTACCAGGCAGTTGGAGGTGCTGGCTGGCTGGGGCTGGAGGAACTGGCTGGTCTTTCGGATGGTCACCAAGGGCCTGCAGGTGAGGACATGAAGGCCAAGTCAGGCAGTGGTCTTTAGTGGACACACGTGGGGGTCTGTCCTGGGGGATGCACAGTACTCACGGTGCTGGGGCCATGGCCAAGGGTCTGTTGCAGGAGATGCACTTTGCTGGACCAGAGAGCTGCCTGCAACACAGGTACAGCTGTTCAGTGCTCTGCCAACAACCCAGGGATGGCGTGAGGTCCCATGGGTGGCCAGCACCCCTTGCCAGGGTGGGACACAGAGTGTCTGGATGGGACAGTAGCAGCAGATGGGACAGCATGGGAGGGGTTGGGGCAGTGCAGGAGACGATGGAAGGGGACAAGGGATGGGATGGAGTGGGATAGGAGGGGACGCAGCGGCCCTCACCTCTTGAAGCCGGCAGCACGGCCATCATTGCAGGGTCCCTGGCAGAGGCATTGCTGGATGAGCCCTCTCACCTGCTCCAGCTGTGCCTGTAGGGGAGCCAGTGCCACATGGTCCAGCTGCAGGGAGGGCAGGGGAGCTCATTAGTACACAAGACCTGTTTCTAGGGATGTTGCTGCCCCTGAGGGACACTGGGGACACACTGGGACACAGGGTCAGCCATGACGTAAGAATCATAATTTATTGGTGTTGGTAGATTGAGAGCTCACCCTCCCCACACAGGGATGTGCTCCCTGGCCTGATGCATCCTTTTATCCCTACCACCCTCTGGGTGACGCTTCTACCTTGGAGTCCATCTCATTAAGGAGCTTCTCTAGGGCATTCTGTGTGTCCTGGTCCATCTGGGACATCCTCTGAAGCAGGTCCTGCATCATCTCGCTCAGCTGGACCATGGCATGTTGTAGCTCCTCCTGGCTCACTTTGGTCTTCAGTGCAGCCTTGTCTGCTTTCTGAGGAGGGCATGGTGACAGCAATCCCCTGTACGCCCCTAGCCCTGCCACCATCCCTGCATGCCTTTGCTTACTCACAACACCCAAGCCCTGCTCCAGCAGCACCATGCTCATGGCTGGGTGATCCACCACCAACCGCCACATGTCCCCAGCCACCCACCGAGTGCTCACCTGGGTATCCTTGGTGTCACCCCACAGCCGCTCCGCAGCTTCCTGCAGCCTCATGCATTGCTTCTGCAGTTGTCTCACCTGGCCCAGCACCTCCCTGCCAAAATCCAGGCCCTGGGGAGGATAAATGTGGCCCTCGGTGAGAAACAGGGTGGATACAGGACCTGGGTCAGGTAAGGATGCTTATGGGTGGCCCCAGTGAGTGGTTAGTGAGGGCATCCTGAGAGATGCCCCAGTGTGTCCCTGGCAAGCAGGGTGTGGGGCTGCAGCTCCCAGGTCCTCAGGCACTGTGTTCCCCACTCCAGGCTGGGCAGCTGAGCACCTTGTCTGCTCCATCCTGCTGGTGTTTTATCTCACTCAGCACCTTTTCCAGTCGGACAGCAATGTCCTCCAAGGTCATAGACTCTGCTGAAAACAGATACTAAAGCTTTGCTCTCAGCAGTGCTGGATCCTGCAGGCCCCCAGCACACCACCATCTCAAACCCAAGGTTGTTTAATGGCTGTGGAGTCCCTCCAACACTGTTGCCAGGACCCACATTCGGCCAGCACTAGGATGTCATAGGCTGGTTCCCACCAGCCATGCCAGTGTGGCTGGGAGTGAGGCAGAAGGATGGGGGGCTGCAGTGGTTTGGGGACCCAGATGGGATGGCTGAGTATGGTGCTGCCATGCACCAGTGCTGGCAAAGGTCTGGCTGCACAACCCAGAATGGTGGCCCAGCATGGTGGGGATGTCAGTCCGCACCACGTTGCTGGAGCTGGCTCTCACGGTGACTGACATGGGTTTCCACAGTCTCATGCTGCTCCAGCATCCAGCTGAGCCTGCATGAGGCTTCTTGGCCCAGCTCCTGTGAGGCTTCAGGACTGAGCTCCCAGCTGGAGGGCTTCTGAAATGAAACAGCCCCTGAGGTTTAGGGGAGAGAGAAGAGCCCCATGCAATTCCAGAGCCAAGGAGCGCTGCCAGCCCCCAGCAAAGGAGCTTGGCATCCGGGAACCAACACACACCTCACCAGCGGGCATTCTGCAGAGAGAGCTCCGGCACAGCTCCTGACGCACCTCCACCTGCAAACAGGAGAGAAATCAGCTTTTCACCCTGCTCTGGGAGGAGAGAGCCTGGGCAGCCCCTGGGATGGGGAGGCAGATTCCAAACCTTGCCACCACCCCCAGTGCCATCCCATCTCCAGCACTACATGCCTCCCAAGGCCTCAATCTAGACGGTTAAATCCTCCTGGCACTGCAGGAGGGACAAAAGCAGTATTGGTGACCAGGATACCAGGGCACAGCAGATGGGTGTCTCTGCTCTGGTGGGAAGATGACATAGACCCTGCCAGAAGAATCTTTGTGGGGCCAGATGTTTGCCCAGGCAGGTTGCTGCAGCCAGGGAAGCTTCTGGGAGGCTTGAGGGTATTTTCCATGAGGATTTGTGAAAGCCTGGCCCTGGACAGCCTAGGGACAGTCCCAGGGTCTGGGTGCTGAGTCTCTGCACATAGTGCTAAAGATGTCTGCTCCCAGCCCATCTGCCAGGGCTCCCCCCACTCACCAGTTGGTCCAGGATGCTCTGCAGGATGTGGCTATACTTGTCCTGCTGCACTGACCGCTCTTGCATCTCTTCCAGACTAGCCTGTTAACAGAGGCATCACGGGTTCAGCATCTCCAAGGGCTGGGAATGTTGAGGATCAGCCACCAGCAGGGATAGGCAGGGACTGGCAGTGCCCAGCTGTGGCTTCAGGCAGTGTCTATCTGAAACCTCTGGGCCCCAGGGCAGATCCCCCATCTCCCAGCCTGGCCTCAGGGTGGGAGGGAGCTTGAGCTCCAGACCTCATCCATGTCACTCCATGCACCCTCATTATGCATGCAGGTGCCCAGGGAGCCCAACCCCTCTGCTGAGAGCTCTTCAGCAACTGTCACAGCTCTCTGCATGCACCTTGTGGAAATTGTCCTTCAGGAGATGTAGCTCTTCCTCGAAGCCTTCGATGGTGGTTTTCAGGGAGCAGATGGTGGTGAGCACCTCCTGCAGCATGTCCATGACCTGGGAAACACAGGTTTGGTCAGTGATGCTGGGTCCCTACAGGCTCTGGGAGACATAGAACAATGGAAAGCTAAGCAGTGCACAGTGAAGACTGGAGCGTGGGGATGTCTTGGGCCAAATAGAGCTGTCAGCATCAGCCATTTGTCCATCCCATAGCCATGCCCGTGGAGCCCCCCCAAAATGAAGTGAAAGATGTACAAAGGGGACGGGTGCCTCAGTGCCAGTGCCTTACCCTGGCTAAGTGCTGCAGCCTTTTCCCTTTGCTCTGTGCTTGTGCTCTAAGCCAAGGTCACAACATGTGAGTTGGAACCGCACAGGGGCTGCCAGGTCTCACAGGCAGTAAAGAGAGGTTTGCTGTCGGCCAGCCCCACATGCTGCCTATGAAGACAACAGCAGGGCACAACTCATCCTTGCACTGAAACGTGTGGCACAAGCCAGGAAGATGGCATTGATGTTACATGTTGTGTTCCCCACTCAGAGCCTAAACCTGAACAGCCAAATAGCTTGAACTCGTGGAGTGGCGATGTCTCCCACAGGATCCTGCCTTGGAGTGGGAAAAGCCTGTCTACAAGGCAGCACTGCTGTCACTCACAGCTCAGACACTCACTGTGTGGAAGGGAAAGGAATGGAAGGGAAGGATAAAGGCAAGGCAAGGAAAAGGCAAAGATAAAGGGAAAGGGAAAAGGCACAGGGGAGAGAGGAAAGGGGAAACAGGAAAAGAGGAAAGGGGAAAAGGAAAAAAGGGGAAGGAAAATGAAAGGGAAAAGGAAAAAAGGAAAAGGGAAAAGGAAAAAAAGGAAAAGGAAAAGCAGAAAGGGGAAAGGGGAAAAGGGAGGGGAAAGGAAAGAGGAAAGAACAGCCTAGGGCTACTGCAGCCCCCCAAGCACAGTTGCCAGGGCAGGATGGGACCCAACAGACTTAAATCTCAGAGTGAGTATGCTGGACACCCAGGGGCAGGTGAGAAGTGACCAAAACCACCTTTGCCCAGTGGCTGTGTTAAAACACTGCTCTTTAATTAATACCCATAGTGAACCTGGGGCCACTGGAGCATGCTTTGCCAGGCTTCCTGATCCTGAGTCAGCGTGTTTTCATGACATGGACATGTTACAGCACAGGGCAGGTCACTGTGTGGGGCAGGATGCCACCTAAGCAGTGTTATCCGGTAGTGCAGTACAAGGCAAAGTCAGGACACCACGCAGGGCAGGGTGCTTGTGTAGGACACGGGACACTGCGCAAGGCAGGACGCCATGCTGACCAGAACCACCGGGCACACTGTGCTGTGACACTGTAGGGCACAACCAGCAAGACATCAGCAGCAATGTGTCAACGTGACAGGTGCCCTGCCGAGGCCGAGCACCATCCTGAGGATGGCTTCTCACCTTCGTCATCGACGCCTCAGTCACTTCTATTCTCCTCTTCATCTGCGCCATTTGCTGCTCCGCAGGGCCTGCGGTGTCCAGGGTCCCGCCAGGGCGCCTCAGCGGCGGCTGATAGAGACCCGCCTCGTCCTGCCCACCTTCCTGCAGCTGGATGTGCTCCGGGGGTCCGGGCAGGAGGACACAGAGCCTGCCGACCTGAGTGCTGCCGCCGTTGGTCACGCTGGAGGCCACGTCCGCCAGCGTGATGGTGAGAGTCATGTTGCCTTCGGTCGCCCGAGGGGGGCCTCGGGCCGTGGCCGCTGGTGGGATCCCCGGTATGAGGTCACGGAGGACGTTACCTGGCGATGGCCCCGGCGTTCTGTCCCCGTCCTGGGCCAGCCTGGCAGGGGGAGAACGACGGGACCAGGCCCCGTCCCGGTGCGGCCTGGCGCTGGGAGCAGGCTTGGCCCGGTGCGGCCTCGCGCAGGGGAGCAGGCCGCGCTCCGCTGGTGGCTGTAGGCTGCGGCCCCGGCCGCGAGCGGCCCCGCGTGAGAAGCAAGCCCCGGCCCGCGGCGGGTTCAGCACGGCCCCAATCCGCCCCGGCACCGCCCGCTGCCCGCCTCGCCTCTCCCCGCCCCGCCCCGGAGCCTGTGGGTGCCGGAGCAGCAGCTGGGAGGCGGCAGCCGGTAGGTGCGTCCCCGCCAGGCCGTGGTGGGGGTCGGGCCCCGGGGGCGGTGGGGTCGGGCGAGGGAGGCTGTGGGCTCCGTGCCCCCAGGCCCTGGTAGGCCGCGGCGGCCTTGTGATAGCGGGGCCGACTGGAGCGTGGGGACACTGGGAACGGAGAGGACACACGCAGGAGCCCTGCACCGTCCGCCGCTGAGACAGAGAGAGGGAGGGTAATCAGTGTCCGGTTAACGCGCTGAGGAAGGACAGCGCGGCTCCAGGCAGGGAAGGTCTCTGTTCTCTGTGTGCCTGCAGCGCTTGCTGCGGAGGAGAGGTACGGGCCAGGGAGGCAGGCCCTGGACTTGGACTGCGCTTTGCCGTTGTCCGCAGCGGCCACAAAGTGCCGCAGCGTGCGACCAAAACCAGACAGAGCTTCAGTTTGTACCATCAGCAGTGCGGGAAAGGTTGGGACGGGAGGATCGGGTGTGCTGGAGGGCTGGAGTAGCGGGCGCGGGGTGAAATTCAATCGGATGGAAAGGGAGGTCGTGTACTTGGGAAAAGGCTTTCAGCTGTAAGGAGAGCGCTCCAGCCCGGCCGCGGTCGTGCCAGCTTGCGGAGGGGACGGTGGAGAGCAGCCTGCAGGGCACCGCTATGAGAGAAGCAAAGAGGACCCGTTACCGTGACAGATCACCGGGAAGAGGGAGCCAGGCCTAGGTACAAGTGCGTGTGTTTGCAGTCATCCCTGCTGGGGAGAGATGAACTTGGGCTGGAGCTGCCCGTTAAGTGATCAGGAATGATGAGCCCGTTTTAGAGGAGATGGAAGAAGCTTGGGTGTGTTGACAAGCAGGAAGAGAAATTATGATGATGGGCAGGGTATTGCCCATCAGCACAGTGGCAGTATGAATCCTGTTAAAAGAGGAGAGCTCATTCAGCTAATGGGAACTGCAGCACAACAAATACCAGTGAATAAATGTTAGTGAGAGCCTGGGAAGTCTTGAACCATTACAGTGGTGAGGCCTAGGTTCTGCCTCCCCAGGGGACTGGAGAGGCAAAAGCGTAGGAGCTGTTAAGGCAGCACCCTTAATTTATGAAGAGCACAGTGGTTTGTGACTGCTGCTAAATGGAAGGATGGGGTTTGGGACCCTAGGAAGAGCTCCAGGTCTGTGCAGGGGAACAGGAAACAGGCAGGCTGGGATGGACACAGCCATGCCAACATCCTCTGGATCATCTGCAGGAGTCATGCTCAAGGTTAAACTTCTCCAAGTCACTGCAAGCCTAGGTGGGTGCCCCTTGGTCTGAGGTGTTGCTGGAAAAGCTGCTCGGAGATGTGCTTGCACTGATAACTGGTGAGGGGACTGGCAGTTGTCATGTTCCTGGCTGAGCCTGAAACATCAGGTGGTTGAGTAGGTCAGGCACAATGATTTTAAGTAGAGCTGTTTTAAATGGTAATTATAGGGGGTTTGGGCTGAATGTAGAACTAGCTGAGAAACGCTTTGTGAATATGCAACATAGCCTACTGTTTGTTCCCTTTCAAACTGTGCTTGAAATGGGGTTTTCCTTTCTGCTTTCCAGAGAGTGTGTTTGGAATAGGCAATAGGGGGAACTAGAATGAGTATTATGTAGTGTAGCATATAACCATAGTATGTCATTCATTCATTTTTAGGAACTAAAGGAGCTCGGGTCAGTGTGGAAAGCACAGGTTGAAAACTTCCCTTTCCCAAAGTTTTCTCTGTCTGAATGTTGTAGTGATGTCTGTGTGCCCCAGGAAATCTCTGGGAGCATTTAGTGATATAGCTGTGCTGTTCTCTCTAGGCATTATGTGAGGAAGGAATTCCTGCTTAGAGCTAGGGAAGTGAGGACTTTAGGAACTGATGTGAGGCTGTCTAGTGGCATGGCTTGGGTACAGATGGGGGATGAGGCTGTAGCAAGGGTAGGGTGATGGAGCAATGTCCCCAGATGTCCGGAGTGATGCCATGTGGAGCAAATGTGCTCAGTCCTCCCCAGCTGCTGTGGTATGGGTGCTATGTCTGCTCAGGGAGGTGATGGGAGAGGGGATGTGCATGTTTGTATGCTGAGTACCAAAAGATCTTGCAATGGGTGTGACTGGGACAATTAACGGAGAGGGAGTTTCTCTTTCAGAACCTGAGCCCTTCCTAAGCAGATGGATGACCGTGCCGAATTTCTTGTTGTGTTTCCTCTACAGGTCCTGCACCTGAAATTCAATTCCTCATGTTTTTATTCTGGTTGGAGCTGCTGTTATGAGAGAAGGGAGGGTGTCTCTGTCAGTGCCTTGTCAGTGCATGGCTTTGAAGCTCACTTCCTAATCAGCCATACTTTCTGTGCGTGAGAAATCACACAGTGATGCAAAGCGTAGCCACTGCTTTCCTTCTGGATGAAGCACAGCTAATGCACTCCTGTAGCTGAAGGGCATTCAGCCAGGGGTCATGCTGTCCACAGCTCCCACACTGTACGTGTTTCAGGGAGTTTTGGGTCTTTGGCACATTGGACACCAAGTGACACTGGTCACTTGGTCCATTGTCATCTGCAGAAGTGTTCCTTTTGCCAGTGTTACTCACTAACATAGCAAGAGAAAGGATGAAAACAACTTTATTATGTAAAATATTACCTTTTTTCCCCCATTCAATGTGAATTTAGCAGATATATACTCTTATTTAAAGGATGTGGTGATACAAAGATCTTCCAGTATGAGGATGAGTGGGTTTGGAAGGAGATACACAGACTTCTAGTATCTGCTCTTATCCAAGGCTATTTTTTTCCTTATGGGTAAAGAGAAGTATGAAATTTGGTGTTCTATGTCTGTTTGTGGTACCATTGTAGAGTCATACATTTGATTTCTTAAAATTGCTTTTATTATGAGAGCATATCCTAGACTGAGAAAAGCTACTTTTCTTTAACTCTCTTTAATAGAGTTCTTTGCTAGGATCTGCACTGGGGCTGTGCATCGCTTTTGCTGCTATTACCAGGGCTCTGTACGTGTGGTAGTTTTCCAGTGTGCAGGCTCACATTTACTCAGCTTTGCACTAAGCCAAGGAAAAGATTGGTGGCTGCAAGGTTAAGCAAGGAAGCAATGGTATTTGCATAATATGGAGGTTAAAATAATAACAAAGATAGAATATACCTTCAAGTTTCTAGGCAGATATGCCGACTTCTCATTAAACTGTGATGAGAAGGTGGTGTTCTCCCAGACTGATACAGGCAAAGCTGCTGAAAACAGGGAGGACAGGAGAGTTGGAAAACAACAAATAGATGCTGATATGCCTCATGGCTCTTAGCAGCAGTCAGTGGTGTTCTAAAAGGAAAGATTCTAACTATACAGTACTTTTCCCTTCTCTCCGATGCAGTAAAAGTCATGGTTTGCAGTGGCAACTTAAGTTGTTCTGCAAATTGTTGGAGGGTTTTGGCTGGATTTTCTTCCAGGACCTGATTCTGCAACTGTTATGTGGGCAAAGTACTCTAGCCGGAAACCGACTCTCCTGAAGATTTAGAACAAGGTATCTGAGTGCAAACATTTGTGGACACAGATGTGTATGTACCTTCTTTTTCCTTCAAAAAAACCACACGATAAGCAACTTCTGCCTTGGGATGTGATACTCACCTTGCTATTTTCCTATTGTTCCCAATCAGCACTCGGCATTCATCCTGCAAGTGGAGAGCAGCAGTGCAGTTTTCATAAGCAGTGTTAGATCTTTACAGGCTCTGCAAAGGACATACCTCCTCCTCTCATCAAAGGGAACACAATTAGCATAGGTGCCATAGGAAATAACAATCTATTTCCTCAGCAGTATAATGTTTCTGAAGTGGGGTGGGGGGGTCACAGGCTTTCTTTCTGGCATGAAACACTCAAGGAAACTCTTGGTGGCTGTTACAGTTTTGCTTTGGGCTTGTTTACTCAGAGGTACTTCATGGCTGCAGTCTAAAATTTGTTGTGGTGGAAAGGACTATTTGAGAGGCCCGTGCTGGTCCCAGATCTAGGTAAAGAATGGCAGTAGGAAGGAAACCGCTTCATGCCGTGCATCCCCTGAATGGGGCCACACGTTAGTGCAGTTATCTTTAACCAGGTGAATTTAGCAAAAGAAAATACAAGAAATAGCCCCAAAAGATGGAGATGTAAATAGCATCTTAGGAATTGAGAAGAACAGCTGCTGGCTCTGTGTGTTCAACTTCACATGATGAAACCCAGGAGGATCAGAGAATGAAGTGAGCTGGGGCTTTCCCTGCACTTAAGTAATGTATTTCTTTGTTACCTATTGTGATTAGTAAAATAATTCTGCATTAGTAGTAGTTATGTTTCCTTTGCCTCCTTTATACATAAGAAAATGGAATAATACCCAGTTCTCTTGTGGATTAGGAGAATTTAAGTTAAAACATTTGTGCTGAGATGGTGCTCCTTCTGCCCTGAACCAGTGTGCAGGCACATTCCCTATGGTGTATGTCCCCAACCCTTTGATACCCAGTCTCTTCATTTAGGAAGAAAATCTTCCCTACCTTGCCCTAACAGGCTGATTACCTATGAACAGTTTTGGAAGATGTGCTTTTGGAAGGAGCATTCTAGCTTTTTAAGTTTACACTGTTTCATCTTGCATTCCATCTTACAATCATAAATTCCATCTGTCACATCTTACTATGATGTGCACATCCCATGCTCTAGCTATATTTCATCTTTTTTTATCCCCTTGCAATTTGAGCCACGAGAGCCTGTTTGCTTTGGGACAGTTTCCCTCAGCTCCATTTTGGCAGCTAGTGCAAAGGCTGGGTCTATGTGTGAAAGCATTGCAGTTATCCCAGCAAGTCCCAGAGCTGAGGTTAGGTCTGCAGGAGCTGCCTTCTCAGCAGGGCGCATTCCCCTGCCCTGCCTGGGATGGGCAGTGGGAGACGTGGGGACCTGTCCAGGCAGCAGGGAGAGGCTCTTTAACCACTGCAGAGGGGTACGTCAGGCTCTCTGAGCTTCCCCCCTGGTTTATACTGCTCAAAAATACAGCCTACTCCCTAATAGGACTTTGCAGATGTAAAAAGGGAAAACAGAGAGGCTTGCTCTCTCTTGCTATTGGGCTACATGTGTAGACAATAGTGCACTTCCTGCCTCGCTCCAGATCTCAGCCACTACTGTTTTGTGATCACTGATGTCCCACAATGGTATCTGGTGAAAGTATCCTTGCACAGGAAGCCCTGACTTACGTCATTTGACAATTGAATCTTTTTATTGAGACAAGTCGTGGTGGATGAGGCGCAGGCACAAGCGAGCACAGGTTATCTGCCAGAGTCTGGCGATGGTGGGCATGGTCAGCCTGCTCCCTGCAGGGATGGACTCCGAGGGTCTTTCTGCTTCTTACCTTGGCATCTTTAATCTGACAGTATCTCATAGTGCAAGATAAAATGAATTGAAAGGGATTTTTTTCCAAACATGTTTTGAAGCACAGTTATTTGGTT